TTTATATCCTATGCCCTATGTAACATAATATGGGTGTTTTCCCATAAACCAATCCCAGGAGGCCACCTAACAGACTTCCTCTAACACACCATTTGCAAACATCAACAAAGTCATAAACTGTTTAAACACTACACATGCACATCATGGACGTTCTCACCATATAACCAGGACAGTGTGAATCATTCTAAGTTTGGTTTGAATAAAATTCAACGAAAAACAAGCAATCTGTTAGTTTTTTCCAACAACAACAATAAATGAATGTAAAATGTAATGATATCATAAAATCGCCAGGATAAAAAAAGACAATGCATTGTTGTTGAACCAGCCTTCATTATAGTAGGCCTAGGGTAAGGGTAGCCTACAGAGGGATTTGGGTTTAAAAAATGGGAAATGGGAAACAAGCAATTGTTACAGGAAAATAACTTCAAAATTATGAGGTTTACCGGTATTCACCGAGGTTCTCATCTCTCATTTCATGATAGGCATGGACACACGTAGCCTACATCATGGAGGCGGTTTTACCAACCTGACTGATGTCCTGCTCAGTTTGAGAGGGAGAGCGCGAAGATGAGTAGGAAGACCAGAGGTAAGCTTGCTACTGCTATAATTGATTATAATAAAAAACATGTTTAGTTGCCCATAATGAAGCTATTTATCAGAGTTATTGACCTCACAATAAGCGATATTCAAGTAATTTACATAACTTACATTACTATGAAGCAGCAGCCGCGGAGATGGACAGTGCATGGGTGCTGAAAGTTGGCTAATTCGAGAAGTCCTAATTCATTTAAACAGTCATTTTAATATGACTTTAGGCTACTAACAACAAGAGGGCTTTGTGTTGGAGCCTATTTCTTCCTATTCAAGAAATAAGAGGTAGGCCTACCTGTTTGACAGACAAAATTATAGTCTACTATCTATAGATTTTGTCAACCAATTCCGTCAGTCATCATGCACTCCTTAAATATATTAGTGTCAGTGAGTGAAGGGCTTGGTGTGTTAAGTTAAAACTAGGGCTCGAATTGAGGGGTATGTGAGGGTATTGTGGCTTTTGTTAAAGAAAATGGCTAAAAGCATAGGCCTACCCCTTGTTAGCTTAAGATTTAGAAGAAGAAAAAATGGGCCTGATTACATAAAGCGATCTATAACATTATTTTCTATGCTAGAAACAAGCTGTAAAATGCCGGGGAAAGACGTGACTGCGATGCATATGTGTGATTTTATCACTATCAATTGACGTTCAACAATTCAACAGGCTATATTAAACAACAAACTAACTCTAAATCCGTCAGGAGCAAGTCAGGTGGCCTAGGAAGGAACAAAAATGAATTATTTAGGCTATATTATTATTTCAAGGATATAGCCTGCCATTTAAGAAATAAATTGTGAAGCATTTGTGACATGCTACAGGTTGGCAGGAGCGCTCAGCATTTCAACTGTTCGAAGGTGTGCCGCAAGGTTATGCTGCCGAGCACAGGTTATTCAGCTCTCGTCTTCTGTATTGGGTGACTTTACCGAAAGGAGAGTTTTGCTTCTGGTAAGAATTAGAAGCTGCTTTTTCTTCCCTTTATCTCCTGTGGTAGATATCATTACACGTCTAGCTGCTGAGACTTGGCTAGCTTAGCTGCAAGGTAACCCGTCTAGCTCGACACAAGGCTAGCTACCCTATCAACGTTTTTCTACCTGGAAGGGTAGAATTACTAGCTCACTCTCTTGTTTAACTCAACCCACTACCGTGCTGGGTTAACTAGACCAACCGTCCTAGCTTCACTGCTTATCGGTCAAGAACCACGCTTTAGTTTGTCACAAGACCAACATAGCGCTAGCTTCCTTTGGCTACATTTGGGCTAACTAGCTAGGCTACTAGCCCACGAGGCGAACACTGGCTATGTTCACATTGTTAAAGGATTAGCTTCTCCAGCTAGCACTGTGCAAACTATCTAGGCTACTAGCAAACGCTAGTTACGTTTCACTTTGTTCTCAGATTAGCTGTTATTTGGAGCCATGGAGTCTGATAGCTCAGCCCTAGGGGTACCGAGCAAGGCTCCAGTCCCAGCACATCCATGTCCATGCAGGTCAACCATATCAGGAAAGGACACGTCTGCCTGGGTCTCGAACACGCGGAAGCAGCATTCAACGACCCCCAGTCATGCATCCATTGTAGGGATTTTGCTGCTAAAACCCTCCGTCGGAGAGTGCACAGAGCAGCCCAACGTGGTTTGTCTCACACACTGCCTTCGAGTGGGGAGACTACCTCACAGACCAAGCCCTCATGGGTCGACAACATGGATGGCTATCCCAAGGATCTTCACCTACTTTTCCAGGGCTTGGCCCCAGAGGAGGGGGAAGGGGACCTTGTCTCAGCAGAGGAGGAAGAGGACAAGGAGGCGCAAGTGGGGCATCGATGGCGGATTACAGATATTTGCTTATTGATGTCTTCAAACGGGCAGCGACCATACTCAGCATTGAGTGGCCCGAACCCATGGGGGGTGGCAGCGCAGACAGGAACTGGTACGACAGAAGGAAACTCCCCTCTCTCCCCGTCCCAGGCATGCAACTCCTCCCAGCTATCCCAGCTTGCATGGTGGAAGCCAAATGCAATTGCGACAAACCCTTGACCGGCAAAGTCCACACCAGACTTTTTGCAAGCATGAATGTCAAGGACATGGAGGAGCTGGGCCTCGGCAAGCCACCGGTGGTCGAGCCGTCACTGGCCAACCACCTCAACCCCAGTGCCGTCACTAACAGGCACTTCTCTCCCTGGTAAGACAGACCACTTCTCCACGTCCATCTACCAAAAGGTCTGTGTCTGCTGCACATTCTGTACAGGTGTTGAAAGTTATGTCCCTACTGCTGGCATACCAGGCCAATTTCATGCTAGAGATGCATAATAATTGAAAGAAGGAAAGGAAAGCCTTCAACTTCTGCCTGCCGCGTAGACCCAGGAATTGTGGCTACCCGGCCTACCCCTCCACTAACCAAGGCTTCGTGGCAGGAAGAGGCCAATTCGCTGGCATCAAGGCTTTCCACGGGAAGCCCCCAGCAACACAGTGGGCATCAACCCCACAGTTCAGAACCCCAAAGAGGGTCCGACAGTGGGGAAACGGTCCTGCGCTGCAGCTGCATCAAAGTCCCGCCCATTTGATTCCCCTACAGGGAGAAGGGGCGCCCGACCTAGGGGTACGCCCCCTGCAGCGGAGAGGGGCAGCCAACAGTTCACCCCGTGTTCTGGCCTGTCATCTCTCAGGTGGAGCACAGACAATGGGGGAGAGGCACATCTCTGCTCCTAGAACACTTCCCTTTGTGCAGCGACCCATACTCATGTGTTCGCTCTCAAGGAAAACAGAGGGAATCCACTCTGAGTTCCCTCCGTGCCATGGCTCTCCCCCTGGCTCTAGTTCAATCAGCCACAGCAGAAAGACTAATTGTCAGCCCCCACCAAGCATTGTCCCCATGTTCCAGTGAATGCAGATAGTCCGGGTAGCCATTTGATTAGCTGTTCAGGAGTCTTATGGCTTGGGGGTAGAAGCTGTTAAGAAGCCTTTTGGACCTAGACTTGGTGCTCCGGTACCGCTTGCCGTGCGGTAGCAGAGGGAACAGTATATGACTAGAGTGGCTGGGGTCTTTGACCATTTTTAGGGCCTTCCTCTGACACCGAATGGTATAGAGGTCCTGGATGGCAGGAAGCTTGGCCCCAGTGATGTACTGGGCCGTATGCATTACCCTCTGTAGTGCCTTGCGGTCGGAGGCCAAGCAGTTGCCACACCAGGCAGTGATGCAACCAGTCAGGATGCTCTCGATGGTACAGCTGTAGAACCTTTTGAGGATCTGAGGATCCATGCCAAATCTTTTCAGTCTCCTGAGGGGGAATAGGCTTTGTCGTGCCCTCTTCACGACTGTCTTGGTGTGTTTGGACCATGATAGTTTGTTGGTGATGTGGACACCAAGGAACTTGAAGCTCTCAACCTGCTCCACTACAGCCCCATCGATGAGAATGGGGGCGTGCTCGGTCCATCTTTTCCTGTAGTCCACAATCATCTCCTTTGTCTTGATCACGTTGGGGGAGAGGTTGTTATCCTGGCACCACACGGCCAGGTCTCTGACCTCCTCCCTATAGGCTGTCTCATTCTGGCAGGAATGAGAATGAAGTTCTACAGTCAAGTTTGGGACAGGACAGGACAGGATCAACAGTCTACAGAGGGCATACAGGGAATAGAAACATTTTTGGGGAAAATCATGGGTTGACTTAAAAACAAAATGTTTTTTTTACCCC